GCCGACTGCTGCAACAGGCCTCAATTAAAAGGGGATTCTAGGCTCAGATCAGCAAACTCTGGCCTAATTCAGGAAGGAAAGGCTCTGTCACAGCACTGCTGGGCAGGACACTGGGCAGGAAAACCATTTCCAGGCACAGCCATGAAAAGTTACAGCTTGATAACTCAGACTGCAAGGTCTGTGCTCTTTAGAGAACAAGGCCTCAAGCTCAGGTCCAAACCCTCCTCTCCAAGGACAGGTCAAGCTTTCCAAAGCAAATCCAAGTGCAACTCAAAGCCATCTGAATCCAATCGCTGCTCACTCGAGCAGATCCCCCTTGTCACCGAGCGTGGAAATTCAATATATGGGAAGAACTTGAAACAAGAAAATGAAATTCTGTTTATTTTCCTAGCAGGAGTCTGGCCTAAACCCTTCACTTTTCAAGAGTCAGTAACTGTTGCTTCCTTTTTTACCCTCCTTTAATTACATTTCTAAGCTAAATGAGAACCAAGATGAAGGCTTGGGGCACTACCACAGCATCTTTGGCGAGATGTACCCTGGCCAAAGGTGCAATTCCAGAACATGACATTGCATAATGAATTATAATTAAAATACTGTTTTACCAGTTTTTCTCAGAGTCTGGACAGGTTTTCTCCAACACAAAAAAATCCTATGTTTTTTCTAGCCAAACCTGTCTAAGAAAGAGCTTGTGAAGGGCATCTATAAGGAAGGCAGACCCTACCCTTACCGTGTCTGCCCACATCAACAGTCTGGGAAAATGCACCCAGGCAACTTGAGTTTTCCCCATCCAGGTTCCTCCATATGCCATGTGGAGCCAGGTAAGGATGGAGGGAAGGAGAGAGGGAGGGACATGTCACCTGGATGAGCTGGGCAGAGCCAGGTCCTGATGGCACCCAGCACGAAGCCCCTAGCTTGGGTTTGGATCACCTCTGCTCCCAGTCTCCTTTCTAGATGGTTCTGAAATTTTAGTCTGGAAGAAAAAGGATGGTGTCAAAGTATCAGGAAAGGAAAAACAACACAACTCTCTCACAGTTGTCATTGCAGATGCCTTTGTGGCTGAAGGAAAAGGCACATGGGCACTGCACTTCAGCATTAGCTCCAACCACCACCATGAGGAAACCCCTCACCCCACTCACAACCGCACTGCTGTGCTGGGTGACTCCAGCTCCTTCACCACTTCAGGATTTAACTTTCCTTGTGCACCATGTAGTTTATATTGTGTTAAGCCCATCTAGACAGCAAACCATTTCCTCCTGCTTAACAGCCCTCCTGTTCCTCCCCATCATCCACCGCACGCCGCTAAGCCCAAACGATTAACGCTGTCTCCACCACGGAGCAAAGAGAGGTCCCACAGCTCTTAAATGCCCTGCCTGCTCTGGGCTGGGATTCTGTAACAGACCTTCTTCCCTCATAACACTTGTGACACATTAATTTATTCCATACCCATGGGATGGGTCCCAGTGTGCACAGCACAGCTTCATGGACCATCCTGCTCCCCCAGCCAGGAGCTGCTCCATCCCGTTATTCCAAACCCTTTGAAGACATCTCTTGTCCTTCTGCACTGAACTGCAGGTTTTAATCTCACTTTTTTTTTTAGTAAAATCCTTTTTCTGGTTGCACTCAATGCTCACTTAGTTCCTATCCACCTCCAGGGTCCTACTGTCCAGTGTTGCTGTAGCTCCTGCTCCCCTTGGCTCCAGCCCCACTGTTGCCCACCCCATCTCCTATCTCCCAGCTCGCCTCCCCATGTAACCACCCAGAAATTACACCCCACAGAAGAGTTAAACCAGCCTGGAGAGTTGCTGCTGCCCCACTTTGCTGCCTGAACACCATCCAAAAGCAATTAGGGAGCACAATAACCCTGGTCAGGAGCAGTGAGGTTCTGCAGGGACAGATGACGCGACAGCAGCAGCACCAGCCACCCCATTCTCTCCAGGATTTTTCCTGCAAAGCCATTTCCATTCACGAACATGAATTCAATTTTCTTCCTCAAGCTTCCAGTGCTGAACCCCCAGCCCAGGCTCCCCCCACCTCACAGTTTGTGCTGCCTGGCCCATCCCCACACAGTTGTTGTCCCCCCACGGCACAGGAACCCCAAGCAGCCCTGGAAAGCCAACACAAACTGCCACTGGGACGCCACCCATCATGCTGACAAATCTGCAAATAAGTAAGTGCTGAAAAGAAGAAGAAAAGAATAAATAAAAGGACATGGAGGAAGAAATCTGCTTGGGGAACAACTCCATCTGGGCTTGGCACGGGGTCACACTCACTGCATCACTGCTAAAGGGACGAGGGGTCCTGGCCAGCGACAGAGCTGCTGGCTCTGACCCTGCAGGGATTCAGCCAGTTCAAACTCTGAGGGTGCAGGAATTCTCTGCTGAAACGGGGGCCACACGGCCAGGGATTCCTGAAAAAATAAAGTAGGTGTGTGTTTCCCTTGCTTCCCTGCCCCAGACAGGCTGGGCAGTGTCCTTGGCATCATGAGCCGGGTGGCTGCAACCAGCATCACCTCAGGTCTCTGTCCCATGAATTCATCACTTCCTGGCAGTGTTTTATTTATCTCATGTGTTTATTTTCTATACGGTTTGTCCTGAAATATGGCAGTTTGGACTTTCTAGGCTTTCCTGTCCCACTAGGATAAACCCAACATGTGGGATGACATGGGAGATGGAATCAGCCAATGCTGCTATTATTGTGCTCTGTCTTCTGCCAGCTCCACAGAGGCTTTGTGGGCTTTGGAGTTTTCTTTTTTTTGTTTCTCAGCTTTTTTTTCCCTTTTTCTTTTTTTTTCACTGAACTGGTGCTTTTAACACTTGATAGCTTTAATCTTTGCAAAAGTTAGAAAAAGAAAAAAACCCCTGCTGACATCTACTTCTCCAGGTTTTCATGAAAATAGGAGAATCTCTTCGGTGGGTTCTCTGTGGGTGACTACTGGGATGTGCCAATGTAGCAGCGACCCCAGGCCCTGTGCTTCCCCACCTCACCATCTCACCAGGACCTTAATTCTGTGCGTTTTGGGATAGAGCATCTCTTTTTAAAAGAAAAAAAAAAAACCTCTTTGAAATCAGTTTTAAGTAAACAAAAAATTGATCTCACAAGCTCGGTAACCACAAGCATAAATTTGGGTTTGGCTGGGTTTTGTGTTTTGCTTGGGTTCTTCTGCATCACATATGAAGTCTATTTTAGGATGATTTGCTCAAGCAGTTCAGCACATCACCAGGGCCAACATGCACTCAACAGTCACTCAGGAGCCACGGCTGTCCTCATGGCCACCAGCTGCCCCAGAGCAGCGAGAGGCAGAGCTGGTCTGGAGGGCAAACAAAATCTCTTATTCCTTGGGCTCCTACTATCATGGGCAAGTTCTGGCATGAGTTCTCCCGCTCATCTGGCCACTTCTCCTGCCACTGGATATGTTCTTGTCTACACTGAGCCTGCTGCCTGTTTTTATCCACAGACAAATAACCTGGAAGGAGTCCCTGAATGCCTGTCCTTGCCCCAGGACAGGCAGCCGTGGCAGCTGTCACCTCCCCAGGTGAGGGACAGAGGCGTAACTCACCCAGGCATCTCCACATTCCCATAGCTCCAGCCATGCAAGCTCAGCTGAAGCAGGAGGGAAACCAGAGCGTGCCAGAGCCCCATCTGAGGAGTGTCAGGAGAATTACAAAGCTGCACAGAACATCTCACCACTGCACTTTCCGGAGAGATAAGGACCCGGGGGTGGCGTTCCTTGGCCGGAGACTGAGAGTTCCTGTGCTCCCAGCCAGAGGGAAAGCAGGGAACCGCTGACAGCCTGAACACTCCTCTGCTTCCCAGCTCTGCCATCAGCTCCAACAGCAGCTACTGTCTGCCCCGAGTTACCTCAGCACTCACAGAACATACTCCTATGGTCAAAAGTAACTCCTTCCCTACCTCCTGGCAAAGTTGGGACTGCTGGAACAAGGAGGCAGAGTCATTCACTCATCCTCACAGGAGAGAGGAGGTCAGTCCTGGCTGGGAGTAGGACCCTCAGGGCAAGGGGAGCAGCACCAGTGCTCCAAGCTTTGCAGGGCTGGGGGCAGTGCTGCGTGGAGCCTGTTGCAGGAGCACGAGTCAGGCACAGAACTTGCAAGCTCCTGTGAAATAGAAGTATTAATTGCTAGGGCTGACACCTCACTGATGATGCTGAAGGCCACATACAGCTGGAGTTTACCTACCCTGAAAGAAATTACCTAACCAAATTCATGCCCATAAAACACTGACAGCTCATCCCCATGTACTCAGCATTCAAAGAATGACTGTTGTCATCTTTCGAAACTCTCTGATTAAAAAATACATCTAACTGGCATGACTGTAGGCTGCCTTCATTTATTCATTCACCACGAGTGAATTATTCAGTTTTCCAGAATCCCAATGCAGAAACCCTCCCCACTGAGATGGACAGGACGTGCTTTTAGTGCTTTAGCAGCTGTGCATCCTGTGTGTCCTTCATGACAGCCACGAGTCCCACTGCAGCACTGTCAGACTGCACTAAGTACATCTGCACTTTTGTAGTAACTTCAATATAAATATATATTTATATCAAATCCAGGAGTTGGACTCAATGATCCTTGTGGGTCCCTTCCAACTCAGGATATACCATGATTCCTTGATATATTTATATTTGTCATACATTCAGGAAGGCTGACTTTTCAAAGTCTTGCAGGGCTTGGAACAAGGAACAATTATAATCAGGAAGTGAGCAGAGTGAGACATCTCCCATCTTTTTATGGAATAAAAGTTCCATTTCTATCACTATAGGGATAGATCTGACATTAAACTCAAGCTACCTGGATATAGAAAAAAAAAGTCAGGATTCTACGAAGTAAATTCCATACTATTGCTATCAGATTTTAACATTTCAAGACAGATAGAAAAAGCATTTCTCCCCTATAACATGAAATGATCTGGAATTTCTGTGGAAAACAGCCTGACCTGCTGAAGCACACGGAGAAGAGCACATGGAGACGCCAGGACTGTGGCAGCACCAAAGGATGGCTCTAGCACAAGTGTGAGCACCACCTTGCACAGAACCTGGGTCTCTTTCTCACACAGCAGCAACTCCAACCTCTGTGTGTTCTTTGCACATCCCTGGATGGAAAGAATAATTCAAATTAACCATTAGCTGAGATTATTTGGAATTAGTGAGGTTCTGCTTCTTGCTGCTGAAGCATAAAACCTGCCATGGTTGGGTGAGGAAGACTGAGAATGGCCCAGGAGGTTTCTTAAGATGAGTTTATATCTAGATGTTCAACTTTTTAATGATTTTTTTTGCTTTTGTCAGTTTTATTCAAATCTGATAGATCTTAGTCTCTAAACCAGCAGCATCTGCACTGGTTTGGAAGAGCAGCATCTCCAAGAGCAGATGCAGGGGGCACAAGGGACAAACCTCTCATTCCCAGGGCTTGCCCTCTCTGTTTCCAGACCACAGCAAGCCCACACAGCAGACTGAAATTATTTACTCCACAGCACAGGAGCCTTAACCACCTGCGGCAAGCGGAAAATGACAATGACAGGGAGAAAAGGCAAATTTTATTGTGTCTGGAGAACTGCAGCTCCGTGAAGCTGAAGTATTTAAATAGACAAGAATCTTTTGTTCAGGAAACTGAGCACTAATAATAACATTTCCTCCCGCAAAGCAGGCTTCTTCCCAGCTGCTTTCCACGGTCTCTGCCTCCTCCTGTTCTCCTGGCACTGTCCCAGACCTTATCACCCCCCTTTCCCCTCTCAGGCTACAGAACACCCCATGGTTTTCCAGGCTGCCTTCACTCCAGTTTTCCCTCCTCCACCAAACATCCAGATTTTCTATTTGATTCCCTGCTCTGGTTTTTTCCTCCAAGCTTTCTCAGCAAACACACACCAAAAAGAGAAAGCCTCTCTTCTATGGCTCTGGTGCCCCGTGACACGGCTCCCCCTGGCCCCACAACCTTACTGGAAGAGTCTGGTCCTGCTCATACAGACATCACACTTGGAGGACACAGGACACCAGAGCAGGCTCATTCCAGAGTCACCACCAGCATCTTTTGCCAAATGCCTATAGCTTCCCAAAGCTCAGGAAGAGTTTTAAGAGGGATGAAGGAAGACATAGATTGATGTCCCATCACCCCATCAACTTTCCAAACCCTGACCAGAGCATGGAGGTGTTCCAGCTATCCAGCTGGAAATTATTTCATTATTAATTATTTAATTACTTATTCATTTTCTATGGACAAGTTTCCCAAGTCAGCCTTAAAATAAAAAACTGCCCCAGGACACCAGTCCTGTACATGGGTGTTGAGATCCACTGCTGTGGGAGCAGAAAGGCTCTTGGTGTAGCCAGATACCCCATCAAGGGAGGATGGGGAATTTCCTGGAGCAAAGACCAAGCCTTAATTTGTTCCTGTCAGCACAGAACAATGCACTGAAGGAGACAGCAGTCATTGTCTGGGAGAGCAAAGCTGTGGTTCCCGTCTTCCCCACCGGAATCACATCCCTGTCCCCACAGCTGGCAGGTTACGCATCAGCAGTGGTCCCAGGAGCTGAGGGCTGGGAAGGGACATCCCATGGGGAAGGACAAGCCAGTGCTGGCCTTGCAGCCCCTTGCTGAGGCAAAATAGACTGAAGAAAGAGATTGAGCAGTCAGAAACCAGGTCTTTCGGAAATCAAGTCCTACCTGGAGGAAATGTAGGGCTGAAGGAGCCGTGTCTGGGGTGGAAATGAAAGGGGTTAGAGCAGGGGGTTGTGGCTGCTTGGAGATCACAGCTCAAATCCTTCAATATCCTGCTGCTGTCGGGGGACCAGAGGGTCTCAGCAGAACCACAGCTTTCTGAGGTGACAAATTTGAATACCAAAGTGCTGGGTATTCAAAGGGAAATAGAAAAATGAGCAAAAATAAGTGAGTTTAAGGAAAAGGTATCTTGTTTCAATCTTAAAGAAGCTGAAGAGGCAGGACAATTCTTATCCATACCCCAACATATTTACTGTAATTAATTTAAGAAAGAAAATTCACAGATGGAAAAAATATCGTTCAGTCAAGACTGAAGTGTCCTGACGGTGTTGGTGCAAAACATTCACTGGTTCTACTAAAATAAATTGGATTTAATGTTGGTGTGATCTCCTGAGTTCAGCAGGGCCACAATCCTGATCTGCACCCTCAAACCAGCTTTGGAGCAGAGGATGGGTGTGGAGTCAGGAAAGCTGCAAGATATTAATAAATACATAAAAATTAGGGCACAGATTTCCATACACAAAACCCTAAAGAAATTGGATCCCAAACGCCAGTTTTAATTAAAGAGCAGCTTATTATAAATAAGAATATTAAAAAAATCCCAGGAAGTAATATGTAATTATTCATCTACAGAGCTGATGACTCAGATTACTCTATTGATTTGAAATACAGTGTCCAAATGCATTTTACATATACATTAAACTTGTTAGTTTAATAAATATGTGGAGGGAACATGGAAATGTGTGTCTGCTTTTAGAAACAAGTCGCTAAATCCCTGATCCATTCATCTGCATGAGAAAAGTGAAGCAAAGGCTTCACTCCTTTTATTTTATTCTTAAGCAAGTAATGATTTAGAAAATGTACATTATCATCAACACTATAATCACCGTCCCGAGCCTATAATCCCACGAAGGAAGCCTGCACTGCACATAAACTAAGTCTACTGGGGGTTGTTGAAGCTTAAGTTCCTTAAGAATTATTTTTAAGTTCCTCTCCATCAAGGATATTATAAGTAATGAGAGCAGCTGCAATTGTGGCTTTTTAGAAAGTGTTCTCCCAGCTTGTTCTAAAAAGGCTGTTTTAAAGGTCGTGCTGCTGAGCCTGTGGTGCAGTGCCTGGGCTGGCTGGTATAAAGTAACTGCATTTTAGTTGGCATCTGGCTGAGCCTATATTTTCATTTGTAAAAATTGAAAAATTCCTGGAAGAACTCCACAGCCTACCAAAAAAAATGTTCTTCTTGAAAACTAGTTACAAGTTAATGATAATTCCACTTTGGGCAGGAAGGAAGGGTTTAGGCTGGACGTCCCCGGGTGAGTCGGGAGGATGTTAAACCACAGCCCTGCTCTGCTGCTCGGGTCCCATTCACAGCCCAGGCTCCTGCTCAACGGGACAAAACACCCCATTGCCAGGAGATTCATTAAACATCTTCCACAGAACCAAATTACTTCTATGAGCACTAAGTAATTCTGAATATGTGAAAGCTTTCTGAATGGAGTTCAAATCCAGCTTTTCCTTTGATACGTCCCTAGAAGGAACCTCAGATATTAAATCCTGAGAAATGTAGCCGAGACCACGTAAAAGCTGAGACATCCTTGATACATACAATGGGATCCCTTATGCTGGAGATACAGTGAAACATTCATAGACGTCACAGTAAAACTCAAATTCTGATTTATCCCCACATTTAGCTACAGTCGGGGTACAATTCTGGTTAGAGTGTCCATTTGCCTAAAATATATATTTTTAACTACCTTAAGGGGCTTTGGAGCTATCCTGTGTTGGGAAAAGCACAGGTCATTATTTGGAAGGACCTGCTGTAACTTCCACACAAGAAACAGGCTGGGGCACTGGAAATAACCAAAATGGAACTGTACAAGCACTGAGGCAGATACACAACCTCTCCTCTGCACTGAAGGAAAAACCTGCTGTGCTATTAATTTCTTTTCAATAAATGCTCATATTTAAGATGGCTCATGTGAATTGGCATAGGTATAGAATCCTAGAATTCAGCTTTGCCTCTTTCTTCACTGGCATAAATCATAGAATCATATAGAATCATGGAATAATTAAGTCTGGAAAAGACCTGTAAAATCAAGTCCATCCATCAACCCAGTACCACCACCATGCCCACCATGTCCTCAAGTACCACACCCCCATGTTTTTTGAGTACTTCCAGGGATGGTGACTCTAGGCAGCCTGTTCCAATGCTTGACAAACCCTTGCATGAAGAAATTTTTCCTAATGTCCAATCTAAACCTTATGGTGCAACTTGAGGCCATTTCATCTCATCCTGAGGGATGCATGAGAAGGCACAGGATTTTTGTAGCTCCATAGTTTTACCAGGATTCATGTACCTTATAGAAATAGAGAAAGAGCTCATGAGAGAGAAAGTCTCAGCTAAGCAAATCTGGAGAACAGCACAGAGCAGCGCCTCACCCAGCTCCTGCCCTGCACATCCTGGAACTGGGTTCTGGTTCCAGTCACCCTCACAAACTGGGGTACCTGAGGGATCACCACTGCGGAAGAGGGAAATGAAAATGAGATAGATGTGTCCATCTAATTCCTTTGCCAACAGCCCACATCAGCTAGGATGTGGTGCACATAAAGAAAGCAACTGTCCCTCGTCCCCTGCAGAGCTCCGGAGCTGCACGATGTCCCATACTCATAAATGTTTCATTGCACTTCTGGAAAACAGACGTTGCTTTTGAGCAGTCTATGAAACAATATTGTAAACAGCTCAACCATTCTCCCCTCTGGTCTTGGCAGAGCCAAGAACAATGTGCATTCAGGGATGAAAACCCTCTGCCTTGGGCATCCCAACCCAGGGATGCTCAGTGTTGCCTTCCCACCACGCCAGGGAGAGGTGATGGGGCTGGATGGAGGGTCGCAGGATAAGATGGGCAAGGCAAGGAAGAGGGCTTAATGTGAGCGAAACCACAGTTGATAGGGATTGCAGGATTTAAGCTGGAGCCAGTGAACACACTGGGCTGGATGCACCCGCCTGAAAAACAAAACAAAAAATCCAATAAAATGGGCAGATGGTCCTGGAGACATGGGGGGAAGGGGGACTGGAAACAAGGAAACCAGATATTAAAAAATGTAAATGAGAGGGAAATTATAAAAAGCATAAAGCTCCTGTCCCTGAGGGAACAGCTGTGTATGCTAATCCCTCCTGGGCTGCTCCTTTTGGATCTCCCTTCCTTCCTTCCTCCGTCCCTCTCTAATAGCTCCCTTGTTCCTGCTGGACAAAACCGGCCCTTTGTGGCTGCTCTCAGAACAACATTAAAAACAGGAATAGGGAAATTGTAAACAGGAGGCTTTTGGCCTACAGGCCAAGGCACACACCGGCCTCTGAGGTCTACTTCATGCTAAGCAAAGAAACAGATCTTTGTTGCTAAAGGGATTAGGGCTGCGGGATTTCGGAGGCTCGGCGGAGGCATTCAGCTGGCCTGAAGTGGGGGCTTTGTAAAGAGATACCTCCATTATGGCCCCGCCAGCGGAAATGGCTCGCGCTCTTTATGCAATCGGGGTAATGCGATATTGTTGGGCGGCTGAAGGGCTCTGGTGAAGCCTGGCCCTATCTGCTCAATGGCAAATTCTTTCCCTGCTAAATAGATGGTGGGTAATTACCTTTACTGGGGGGGGGGGGGGGGGGGGGGGGGGGGGGGGGGGAACTGTCCATCTTTAACCCTTAGGTGCTTTAATAAGAGCCATCCCAGCGAGATGCCACGGGGTTTGCCAGAGCCTGTGCTCATGGTGGGCTTCTAGATGAGCTTCTACCACCTGCAACAGCTTCATCTCAAATTCCTCATCAAGCAAATAAGCACATGCCATAAAATATCCATCACCTGTGTTACTCTTAGGCTCCCTGAGCCCATCTTGGCTCTTGGGGTGCTGATAGTCCACACTGCAAACCCCAGGACAGCCCTCAACCAGGACAATCCACCACACTATGTCTTCCCACACCGCTGTGGAACTGCCCAGGTTTAGTGACTCAAAATCCTCTGTGAGGTTTGTGGTTGGGGTTTTGGCTGGGGGTGGCCTTTTTTTTTCTTTTTTTTTTTTGTTTTAGAAATAATCAACTAACTCCTTCCTGATGAACAATAACCTATATTCAGGTTTGCATTAAGATTATCCCTTGGTTACACACAGCCCACACCACCTCTATGTAAGTATTATGGAGTTTTCCATGGTTAACTTCTAATTAAATTCCCCAGCTGAGCACAAGAACTGTGGGATGATAGGCAAGTCCACAAACAGCACAGTACCACCAGCGCCTGCACTTCCAGCGGGAATCTCTCCTAAAAAAGAAAGCAGGCAGCACCGAGCCTGCCCGCAGCCAAACCATCTCCACCACCATGAACATGCCCTGCCTTCACAGTTGTAGGGTGTGGGACATCCAGAGATGGGTGGTTACACTTCTCTTAGTGATAACTTAAGATTACTCATTCATTTATCCCAAAATCAAGCGCATTTGCAACTGGAAGAGGTGGCTCTGCTCTGCAAAAAGAATACAAGTCTGCTGCAACATCTAGAGAGGAGAATAAATATGAAATAATTTGCATCTGGGGCTGTTGGATGTGAAGTTCTGCTCAGGTTGTAGCAGCGTTGCTGATGACCAGCTGCTGTCTGTCACCTCTGCCCATCACTCCTCTGCCATCCAGCCCTGCAGCTGGGGAGTCCCAAGGCCATACAGGGAGAGGGAGGGGAAGAGCTGGATATGATGGCACCATTCTAAGCCATTCCAATTTTTCAGCAACACAAACTGGTCATACTGGAACGAAGTTCACTAGAATCCATTCATTTGAAGTTTATAGGTTGGCCTAATAATAAAAGACAACTGCCATACAGTCCATTTTTGTGTGGGTTTTTTTTTGTCAGGCACTGCCTAAATCCCAGCCTTCTCCTTTTTGGCCCTAGTTTCAGACTCTCTTCCCAGGAAAATGTTTGTAAAAATAATTTGCTATAATTAGAAAAATGTTTCATTTAAAATTCATTGCTGGAAGCCTGTCCTGCCAGTCGGAGTTAGGCAGGCTCCAAGACACCTCTTTCTGTGACATGTTCCTGCTGAACTGACAACCAAAGTGACGCCCATGTTTATTTTACAAGAGCTGGGCTTTGAGTTCCAGATCCCAGAATCAAAGGATTATGGGTGGGTTGCTACAACTATTAAAAATATCAGTTGACTCCAGTCCCTGCACCATGAGAGTCCTGACTCCCAACAAGAATGGGAATAACAGGAACGGGATATGTATTAGTTTGACAGTGTCTCGTTTGACTGTGCCTCTGCTCAGGTGTAGCAGAGCTGCTGACAACTCTTGCTGTACCTGTTTCTAAGACACTTGGTATTTGGCCTCCTGAAACACCAACCTGCACACACACACACAGCCTCTGCTCCCTGTGCTGTATAATCTGGGAGCCACCATCCCTCGGGAGAAGGGGGACCATCGTGGCAAGGGCCAAATAAATTTGGATAACGTGACGAAGACCAAATGATGCCTGAGATTTTGGCATTCCAGTGCTCCTAGTGAGGAGCTTTGTTATGCCATGCTCTACCCAGGGGTCACCGTAAAGGCTCCCTGCAACTGAAAACCAGCAATTCCAGCCAGGGATCAGCACTCCCTTTGCCAGTCCCCTCTCCACCCCTCTGCACCAGTGCAGAACCCTCCGGATACAGCATCCCACACACACCACTGCAGCACAAATCCCAGTGCTCTCCCCATCCCAGAGCTTTGCTCCTGGCAAAGAAAAGCACAGTTGTGTTTGTTAAAAAGGGAGATGACATGAAAAGGCAATCCCTGATCACATCCTCTGACCTGGGTTTCTGAGCTTTTAATATCCCTCCATGTCTGGGACTTTCCAAACCCAGCAGAGCAGGCTGGGGGCTGATGAATGGTAACACTCTGACCAATTACAAAGTAATTAAAAGTCCCACCGAGAAAGCTTTGCATATGGACTTTAATTATTATACCACAGTCCTGCCAGAAAAACACAAAAGAGGATCTCGGGCAGCTTGGAGGATGCATATGGCTTGTGTAGGTGGAGAGACCTAAGAGACTGTTACTTTGGGTAGGAAGTGGATTTTCCCTCTCCTATAATCTTGTTAAATTACCCTGGTTTTAAATCAATGATTTATATCTCCCTCTTCAAATCCAGAGGGGAAAAAAAACCCCAAACCCTCTCTAAACAGCCAGTGTGTGACAAGCAATACATTTTCACTTTCATTTACCCTCACACTGCAAAGTTCACTCAGTGAACCAGAAGTGTTATAGGAAAATACTGGGAAGGACTGGTTAAAAAGAAAACCTTGGCTGAAATGAGATGGAAAACAGATTTCCCAGGTTAGGTAAGTATCAGAAAATAATACATAATGTTAGACATCCGAAAAGGGAAGTAGGAAAATATTTAAAAATTTGCATAACCATTTGCAGCCTAAGAAAAGAACAGAAAAACAGTTTCATTAGGAAAGGACATTTCAAACAGGAGGCAGTGCTGGATCTTCCTGGGAAACGGCCATACCCTGTGTCCAGCATTGACTTTTTGTGAGTGCCTGTGTAACCGACTGAGGACTCCCAAACAGATTTTCATTTGCCATTTGGGTTTCAGGGAGTCTTCCTCCCTGCTACACCAGTTCACATCTGTGTACGTCTGGAAGCTTCCAGGGGGAATCATCTCGTAGCAACACTCACAATAATACAATAGACTCGGCACAGATCTGGGACTGAGGCCATGCTGCAGCCCACCTGCAACAGGGAGCACTCTGAGTCTATCCAATTAACATCTCATCAACCCTCCAGTTTTGTGAAAGCCCCACTGAGCTGCCATTGAGCACCAAAGCCTTTGTCACTTGAAAGCCAACCATGTCCTAGGCTGCATCAAAAGAAGGGTGGACAGCAGATCTAGGGAGGTGATTCCTCTCTCTATTCTACTCTTGTGAGACCCCACCTGGAGCACTGTGTCCAGCTCTGGGGTCCTCAGCACAGGAAGGATGTGGACCTGCTGGAGCGAGTCCAGAGGAGGCCATAGAGATGCTCCAAGGGCTACTGCTCTGAGAGCTCTGCCCTACAACCCAAACGCCCCATGTAAGGTATCAGCAGCAGTGACAGCAGAGAGGAACTGCGTGTCCCAGAGCCGGGAGGAAGCACTGACATCACCCATAGACGTCTTTAGCTCTGCTGACTCACTGCTCTTCCCCCCAGCAGGAACAACATCCAAGCACTGGGAGCATTCCCACAGCAGCCTGTGTCACCGCTGCTGGAGCCGTGGCTGAGCAAGGCGTAGGGGAACACAAAAAAGCCCCTTTCTATTTCTGGACCCTGGGTGAGGTGGATGGGTGGAAATCACCAGGCTCTCCGTTCCCGTGGGAAGCCATTAATAACCTCCTAAACACTGCCACATCCTTTAACAATCGTGCTATTATGGGATGCTGAGAGAGCAGCCATGGGGTTGGTAAGCCCACAGGGCTCCTTCCCCCGCGCTGCCCACCAGGCACTGCCAGGACGGTCCCACCATGCCCCAGCCCTGGCACAGCACAAGATGTGACTGTGTGTGCCTGTCCCCACTGCTGACGGCGTGTTTGGAAAGGAAATCCCCCCACGTGGCCTGGAGGACCGCGAGGGAAATAAAGCCATCTGTTCATTGAGACAGACCTGCTTCAAACCAATTAATATAAAGAGCTTATATTAAAGGGTCTCGCTTCGATGCAAATCCCCTCTTGTAAACAAACCTTACAGGTCCCAGCTCCAGTCTCCAAGGCAAGTCTCAATCTGATTAGTTACTCCACATGCCTTAAATTCCCCCTTACCAATGAATAAAACTATCTTCTTGCTGACATATATTAAACACTTACTGAATTTCACCTTGAGGTGTCCTTTTCAGTGTTATTTAGTGAAACTGGGACCTCTCTGGGTGAAAAACAAGCAAATTAATTTGTTTTCTTGGGAGTAGTTGTCCTCCAGACCACCAACCACACAGCACAGCACAAGACCTCCACCACAGCCCAGCACACACAGAGTTTTATCTCCCATATATGCACCACTGTGGACTATTTTTGGATGCCTGCCTAAGGCAGAGCACACAGGGCAAGGTGTGCAGTTCAGTATATTAAAAACAAGAGAATGAATTAATGAGAAGGGAATTCAGCAACAGTTTTCTGCCATTCTCCAAGCAGCAGCCCTGGAAAGCACCTGTGGGAAAAGCACTTTCTGTAGGTGAGCTTACCTGGGCAGGATGAGGACTGAGTGTTGCTGCAGGAGCACACACATGTTGGCTTCATGGACTCTGGAAAAGCAATGGGATGAGGAAACAGTCACCCCTATGGAGGAAATGCATTTGCTGGCTGATGGTTGTAAACATGGTGAGCACCAAACCGGATCCACAGGCTGCTCCTCCACAGCTCACGGAATGCTGAGGAAACTCTCCACAGCTCCTTTGAGCAGCAGCTTTCCATCCCTCCACAAAGACCCATTTTTTTTTCTCAGATATTTCTGAGACAAATGTCTTCTCGGTCTTTCCATTTAAATACACAAGCCCAAAAGTTCCCAAACTTGTAACACAAACTGGCAAAGCCATTTAGCAATGTACATCCCTGCCCTTTCCAGCTTCAGCCCTGCCCTGCCCCACTCTGCTCCCCACAGCAGGGACGTGGTTCCAGCTCAGTGGGCACATGCCCAGCAGCAAAGAGGGTTTGATTCTGGGTCAAAACCAGCCTGATTTTTTTCTTTTGGCTCATATATCACTTTTTTCCTAATATGTTTAAAAACAGACACAGAGAAGCAGAAAATGACAAAATTATGAGAGCTAACTGAATATTAAGAAGCATATACCTCAATTATTTGCATTTCTTTCCTGTCTTCATAAGTAAAGCTGAGTCTCTAGATGGTCTCTGGGGTGTTGACACAGAGGTTTTGCTTCTCGTCTCTTGCTTCAAGTCAGGTCCCCTTCACTCTGGAGAAGTCCCTTTTCCCAAACAGTAACGGAAATTTCCCAAACACTTACAAAGTAATGGCTCTGCAGTAGAAGACAGAAAGAGAGGAGAGTGAGATGCATTCCTGGGGAAAAAAAGAAAAAGTTTTTCATTAAAGGTGAACTCTGCTGTCAGCTCCAGGACTTCCAGCCGGTAAAGAACAAGGATCTCTCCCTCGTCCTGGAGGCAGCAGAACAGGAAGTTTTGGTCTTACAAAAAAATTAATGAAATAGTGACATTGTGGGTGCCCTGTACTGAGCTGCCCTGGAACTGCTGCATCAGGGAGTCTGATGGCAAGAGAAGAGCTGGTGCTGGGAACACTTGTGAATTTGGCATTGAAAGTGTTACAGAAAACGTACCATAAAGTTCCTCTGAGGCTTTAATTTCCCTCCCCCCCACCTTCCTTTGATTTTGATCCCCTCCTTCCCTCATGTCCTTTGAACTTTTAAAAAGGCACTTTAAAGAGATGTCATAAAGCAGTGAGTTTATTCAGGATCTCCTCTTTGATGCTCCTGCTGCTGCGTGTGAAGTGCGGCCCTGCAGGATATGGAGCCAGAGGAGCCGAAAGCTGAGATGGAAAGGAAAGGGCAGAAAAGTGAAAGTGTGGACACAGCGTTCTGCAACAGCTCATGGACACAGGCACAACCCCACGCTGGCTTCTGGGCTACAGGGACCTATTGTGGTTACACCCTCTGTGCTCCTCTGAGGTCACTGTGGGCTGGCAAACTCAAGGGGGAAGTGATGGGAATGAAGGTGAGGGGTAGCTGGCTTGGAATCCTTCATCCCAAAGGCCATCCTGATCTCACTGCAAGATTACAGATATATGACAGTTACACACACACGTGTGTGGTATCCCCACAGGAACAGCCACGTCCATGTCACGTGGAGCCACCCAACACTCAGGGATCAGCCCAGCAGCTCCAGGACTTGGTGCTGGAATCACCCAGCAGCCTTTCCCACCTCCAGCTGTTCTAGTCATAAGAGTCCCTGCTGTCAAACATGCCAAATGTTGTTAAATAATAAAAAAAGTATTAAATAATCCTGTGCACACATACTACACAATCACCAAGAACAGGCATTCGGCTTCCAAGCCCTTCCCATTGGAAGACAATGACGCTGCCCAAACAGAAGGAAGTGGCTACAGAGCTCAGCACCAGCTCTTCAGACCCAGGGGAAGTGCATGTTCCAAAACCTCCTTTCCATACTGGAATATCTAGAAAGCTCAGACTCACAGAATCATTAAGGTTGGAAAAGCCCTCTAAGGTCATTGAATCCAGCCTCACTGCAGCCCAGGCTTAGGCTGGGTGACTTTTTTCCCCTCCTGAATGTCTTTCTGAACTAAAATTGGACATTTCCATGGCAAAGTTGGTTTTGCAGCACAGGACTTAATGGCACAACGCCACCAGTTGGAGCCTCTCAACTTTATTTAACCTTTGCATAGGGAATTGCATTAACTCATCCAAGAGAACCTCTCAGCAAGGGAGAAACAGATGTTCAGGCATTAGATAAGCTACAACAAAGTCCATGGCTTTTATCAGCAGGGATGTGGGTTTGGGGTCAGTTTTGTAATTTTTAGTGGTTGACCAGTAGTAGGAATTATTCAGAAATAAGTGAAAATTATCCTGAAAATTTCTTGAGAGTCTTTTGAAAGGATATTTTTCCTCAGTTGCCCCTTTTTACCTGCAATATTAATTTCTATTCTTTTTTTTCAAATTACAGCCAAGTATCTTCTCCTGAGACTGAATGCAGATGCAGCTGGAATAGGAAATTTTAACTTGCTTCCAACCTGGGAATTTTGCACTTTAAACTTGAGATAAGGAGAGAACTTTATTTTAAAGACACGTGTACCCAAACAAAAGACAATTATACTTCCAGAGAGGCCACCCCACAGTGCTCCTGAGAAACAAGTACTGCAGAAAATAGCAAAATGTAAAGGCCTAAGCAATTCTAGCGTATATTTATTAAATTATTCCCATTTAATACACTCCTAGAATCATAGAAACACAGAATGGCTTGAATTGGAAGGAACCTTAAAGATCACCTAGTTCTGGCCCCCTGCCACAGGCAGGGACATCTTCCACTACACCAGGTTGCTCCAAGCCCCAAACTTGGCCTTGAACACTTGCAGGGCTGGGGCAGCCACAGCTTCTCTGGGCAACCTGTGCCAGGGCCTCACCACTCTCACAGGGAAGAAATTCTTCCTAATATCTAATCTAAACCTGTCCTTTTTCAGTTGAAAGCTATTCCCCCCCTTGTCCTGTCACTCCAGGCCCTTGTCCAAAGTTCAGCTCTCCTGGAGCCTTTAGGTACTGGAAGGTTGCTATTATATATATATATATATATATATACACACACATACATACAGAGATGATATATACATATATATACACACACAAAGTCAAATAAGGAGATTTGGGGCATTACAACCCCTCTACAGTTAGGATTGTCTTCTTGAGATGTCCAGAAGAAAGGCCAGCCCTTTTTATCAACACCCAAGCAAAACAGTACCTGCACTGCCCTGAAGATCTTACAGAAGACAAGGGAAATCTGACAAAGCCAGCAGGGTTCTTCTTGGTGCAGCCAAGTAGCCTTGGGAAGCACCATGGCAGCCTGGTTCCTCCTGCAGCTGCTCCCTTCACACAAGTATCCTTGAGGAAAGCAACCAAAGAGAAAAAAACTAGGTAGTAAATGAAAAAGGAGTATTCAGTGAAGGACATTTTTTGTTACGGTAGATTTTTTTAAAGACACATTCAAAAAACAAAAGCTGCAAATATAAAACCTGGGACTACAGAGAAACCCAGCACTCAGCCTGTCTACATCAGGCTACCCAAACAGCACCCAAAACTCAAGCCCTGAGGTTTTCATCCTCTTTAAGCCCCGCTCCCCCATTCACATGGGGCATCTCCTCCATGTTGTGCCCAGGGCTTGCCAAGGACATTCACCAAGAGGAGAGGAAGGAAGAGAGAGCTGCCCTGCCATGGCCAAACCCATTTTGCAGCAAAGTAGGTCAAATTGAAATGCTTTGCACTCATCTGAAGGTCACTACTGTCTCCACAGCCTGTGCTGGGCAAGCTAAAGTGTATTTACATTGAGAAGATGTAGAGAGGTTTTGGAGCTGGAAGCAGTTAGAGGAAAAACAGGCTGTTAAAGAGAGCAGGAGCATGAGCCTGCATCCGAAATGGTGAACGCCAAGGGAGGAAAGAATGAAAAATCCCAAATATCAGACATTTCCCTCAAAGGGCAGGAGTGTTAGTCCTGCCCTCCCTGCTCCTGGTAGCACTGGTAGGTGTTCCTGGTACAAAATACAGCACTGACAAGAGGTCTTGGGTAACATTTGCAGAGGGCTTTGACATGGAAAGCCTGAATTCCTCTTTACAGAGGCAAAGTCTGACAAAAGCATAATGGAAAGAGGCTTCTGACGAACAAAAATTGACTCCCTGGCACACGCACAAGCCCACGCAAACTTTCCAGCCTGCCCTCCAAGTGTGAGCACTGGTGTTTCCATTAAGCGCCTGAGAGCTCAGAAAGCATCCGGAGAAAAAGTAAACTCATGATTAGACTGAGCACAACTTTTTCCCTGAATTTCTGCTGAATTATTACAAGTAGTTTTGCAACAGGAGCAGAGATTACCCTGGTCCTTTTGTGGGTATCTCTTCTGACTGCCCTAGAGATAAGAACACAAATGTAGCGATTTTAGGGTGTCTGAAATCATTGTTGGGAAGATCTGTCAGAGGAAACTTCGTATAGAGTTAGAATCATAGAGGAAGAAATCACAGAATTATTCAGGTTGGAAAAGATCTCTCAGACCCCCAAGTCCAATCATTCCCCCAGCACTGCCAAGGCCACCACTAACCCATGTCCCCAAGTGCCACATCTACATGTCTTTTAACATGTGACTCCTACACTTCCCTGGGCAGCCTGACTCAATGCTTGACAACTCTTTTGGTGAAGAATCTTTTCCTAATATCCAAAATAAACCTTCTCTGGCACAACTTGGGCAGTTTTCTCTTGTTCTATTCCTTGTTACTTGGAAGACAAGATGCGTCCTCACCTCGCTACAACCTTCTATGGAAAACAGTTTGGAAAGAGCTCTAGGTCTGGAGCCACACTGAACTTGGGGAAAGCCCAAACCTAGACCAGGCTGCCTTCCCTGCCCCTGTCCCTCCAGCATGATCCCACCACCAAGGTGGGCAACTGGGAGCCTCAGGAAGGGGACACATCTTGACACAGCAGTTACATCACGGCCATCATTCACACATTGTACAGACTATCTCCTCTGCCCCCGTGCATGGCTGTGAAAGCCATAGCACTGCCTGCACAGGAAAGTTATGTTAGAAAACTAATTAATGTATTTTGGCTGTCTCCTAATGAAACTCAGCAGCTGGAAGCAGGCACGGAGCCAGTGCCACGTGACCACTCAGTTCTCCCTTGGACACGTTTCAGGAATCCCTTTGCTGAAGTATCCAGTTGTCCTGCACGACTCTTTTTCCCCCTAAACTGAACTAATCAATGTCTGGCTGCAAGTTATCATGGAGGGAGGGGGAGAAACGTGCATGGAAAAGCTGTTGTGCATCAACCACTGCGTTATAAATACGCAGGCGATGCAGCCATACACAGTATTTTACTCCTCCATTTATCTCCCCGCGAGCAGAACGGCTGTAAGCGGATGAGTGCCTGCCATGGAGAGCAGTTCTGAGTGAGGTTATTGCATTCTTGACTTAAGCCCATTTTTCTGGTTTCCATGCAAACGTCAATGAATTTTAAAAGGGAGCATTCAGCCCAGACCTTCTGATTCAGACAAAACACAGTATCTCTCTATATCAGGATTATACTCTTGCTTGGCAGAGGGAGGAATCCAATGGATTTCTCCTCCTCTCACTGTTACACCCCCCTGACTGTCCCACACGTCCCAGTTACCTCCATTGGTTGCTGCAGCCGTTCCCATGAGCGCCAGGCAGGAACACACACTGTAAATGCACAGGAATATATATGCTTGCACCTCATACATGTACACACAGACACACGTACAGGTGTGCCCGGGACCAAGGACGGCAGGAACGTAAATATGTTTTACGCCTAATTATGGAAAGTACTTTGGCAGGAGGCGGCCGGGGCACAAAGAGCTACTATTGAGGTTCCTCAGGCTGTGGCCTCCATTCAGCACACAATTGACAATATTTAGACAGTATGGGCTAGTTCCTTCCTTCGCAAGGTAACTTCCTTGTCTGGCAGCCCTCGGGCAGGCTGTAAATGACCTTGTGTTTAAGGACAGTGTCAAATCAAATAAGCGGTCAAGGGAAAACCGCGCCTGCTCGCCTTCCCTGCGTCGCCACCATTGGTTTTCTGTTCTCTTCTTTCTCTTCAGGGCAGCTCCTTGGGTTCAGCAGAGCTGAAAGCTCCATCAGCAGATGCCCCTGTGCTGCCCAGCAGGGAGGCAGCAGGCAGAGCATGCTGAGTGATCCCACTGCCCAAAGCGGGGGAAAAAATGATGGCATGCAAATGAAGACTTACTTATTAATCCCAAAGGAATTTCACTTGGGGTTTTGTCTCTCCCACCACTCGTCTCCCATTTCCAGCCTTCCCCAGGCAAACGTTTTCCTATCAGATGCCCAAAGGTTTTCTGGTCTTTCACTGTGCAGATTCATTACCAATCCCTTCCTTGCTGTCTGTGCCCTGCTCCGATTTGCCTCCCATAACACACGGTTCCAGACCACAAGGCACATTGACTTCTGGAAGTCTGGCTCTGAAACCAAATAAAAAGCTTTTCATTGACACTCAAGTGTAGGTGAAGCAAGTCAAAAGCCTTATTTTCATGTTTTACAGTGCTCCCACCTGAATAAATTCATTTTAAGTGCCACTTTTCCATTTGTGGATTATGAAAGGTTGGGAGGTCTGGATGCCATCACCAGGGACCAAAAAGTAATATATTACCCACTGCAGGAGTCTGTCAGTGCTTCTGTATCCCACAGTCATCGTCACTGCAGGGCATTTTAAAGCACTTACCCTGAGCTTGCCTTCAACACACGGATGGACGATAGACATCGGGTCTGCTGCTCACAGGGAGGGGCAGGCAAGTAGCCATAAAGCTATGGTGGGACTTGAATGTGACATGGCTCAGTGGAAAAAAAAAAATCACTAATATAAAATATTTCCTAATCCACCCACCTTCCTGCTCCCCTTTGGAGCAGAACGGCTCCATTGTACTGCAGGGTTTGCTCAAGGCAGAGCCTGTGCAGGGAAGGGAGGTCTTGCACCATCCCTTGGTATGAACACCCCCCCCCCCCCCCCAAATCCAACCAGGACTTTTGCAACCACCCAGTTTAGATACAAGTGCAACTCTGCCCATTTCCAGCTATAGCGCTCAGCACCACCTTAAATTACAAATTACATGCTCCTGTGGGTGTAAATGCAAGTGTGTGAGGCAGATGTAGCACACCAAAAGCTACAGTAGAAATATGGAGATATAAAGTGGCACAGGATTGTTGGCTCTGCCTGTATTTAATTTTCCAGCCCTTTTTAATCATACAGAACCATAGCTTAGGTGTGTTGGAGCATCACTGGCTGCTAACCCAGAGGATAAATGTGCTCTGTGTGCCCAGCTAAAAGATCTGAAAATCTGTCCAGAGTAGGAACATGCACCATCCCATCAAACACATAGAACATCAGCAAGCTCAGCATCTTCCATGAAGGAGGATTCACCAAGTTTAAAATCCAGATCACAGGGATTCCTGAAGCAAGAGGTGCTCTCTCAACCTGCTTCCTCCCACTCAGCACATGCAAGGTTTGCCACAGCCCTTGGTGGCTCTCAAGGAAAACAGGGAAGGTTTGAGTTTATTTCACTTGTGCAAGGAAACTCCACTGACAAATCCAACAGGCTGAGGAGCTGCAGCATATGGTTCCTCACTCCTCACACACACAGCCCTCCACAGTAATGCAGGGACAGAAGCACTAGGTGGCAAAAAAAGCCAACAGGTCCTTATTAGTTACACTCTGGAAATGAGCACTAATGTCTGTATAAAATTTCAGGTACTTTAATAACAACCATGATGGGCATCAGCCCATATCTCACTAGCATGTTTTATTGTTCCCAGTGAAGGATAGAAGTGAGGGCTCACAATTATACAAAAAAAAAAAAAGGGGGGGAGAAAGGGGTTCAATCCCAAATTGTTCCTGAATAAATATTACCAAAGTAGGAATAATATCTTGCTGGATTTCTGTGTACCATTTCCTTCCTGGTAATGGCAGTGTAATAAAGCATCAAAATAAACAGTAGTCGAAAAAATAAATGGCTGGAATTGGTCTGTATTCCAGATGAGAAACATCTGCAGGGGTAGATCAGCAGATCTTTTCTCTTTTTCCTGGGCAATTAGTTGGACAATTCTGTGCTCTTATAGGTAAAATTATTCTCCCAACCTCTTCTATCACCTCATAAATTAAACCAGTATTTTTGGAAAGGAAGGAAAAAATCAATAAATACCTCTAGATAAATAAGAGCAAAAGACTCCCCTAGATGTAGTTGAGCCTCCTGCCTCGTGACCGTTTCCTGTGCAGCCCTCCTCATTTCTAGCTGTGCTTTCTCAAAAGGACGGGGGAAAAAAA